TGGAAGGAATTCGTGATGTGGTCTCACCGGAAACAGAGGGAAGACTGCTATATTGTGCGAATAGATCCCTGGCTCACCGTCCTGCTAGCCCTATGAAACCGTGCTAGACTTTTGTCTGTACTGCGACGGACATCATCACAGCAGGAATCCATTCTTCACGAAGTAGAACAAAAATATACTAAACCAAGATAAAACGTGGCCGGCTGCAACCCTAGTTGCTTGTTTATACACAAAACCTTACGATCTTAATAAGGCATCCCATGATTTGGTTTGCCACCTCAACCTTACCATATATGCTTGCCGATGAGCGAAGTTACTTCATGAACCGGAAGTGCGTTCGGCGGCAGCTGTTTCCTTACGCAAATAAACTAATGTACGAGCCTCTACTTTTGAATCATGTTTGGGTTTGTGCTATTGTCGGGGTCGAAAGACGGTGAGCCGAGGACTTCTTCGCACAATACAACAGTCTTCCCTACACGGAAATCCTCCTTCGGTTTCTGGTAGGCCTAAATGGAAAGTCATGTCACAATATATCACTAAGTAATTCTTCTAAAATCCGCTTTTCATTCATATTTCTCTTCCTACATGTCTTGCAAAGTACTGGTGGTAAATATGCATGAAGGGGACTAATAAGAATTTAAACTAATGAGAAATATAATGAGACCATAAGTTATTATATCACCCAACTGCTCATTGAATAATTGGTCTATTAAAACTAAATGAACGTGTAACGTTTGATTATTTTATGATAGTAAACTAATTTAATTGTAAGCCAAGCTAGTATTTTTAGTAGAAAGTCTAAGTGAAATGCATTGGCACCGTGGGCCCTGCTCATCTCATTGTGGGGAATTCAATCATCAATCCTCAAATCACTTTAAGCGACCTATGCTGCCTGAATTTCCTATTTCAGTTTGGTACTGTCAAGAATTAGTTTAAGCTATTGATATTTAAATCAGGAAACGTGTAAATATCCTTTGCAGGCAAATGAATATAGGAATTATCGAATGTTTCGCGTTATTTTGAGCTTACCAGGATCAAGAAACCCAAAGCAGACAGTCCAATCGCCATTATAACGGAACCAGCTACAAGCATAATGCGTCTTGACAAGCGATCAACGACGATCGTCGCCGCGACAGTGCACAAAACCTGGACGAAACCCAGCCACGCAGCCTGCCTCGAAGAATTTTCCGAACCAAGCCGATTAAAGATAGATTCAGCGTAGAAAAAGATTACATTTACTCCCGTTAGTTGCTGAAAGGTGACTAACATCAAACCGAGAAACAAGCAGCGAGTATCGATGCTATTTTTCACTAAGCAGGATTTTATTTCACTGATACAGGGAAGGGTAACGGGAAGGAGTCGGGCTGGTTGTGGAATAGGTGCACGATGAATAACGTCAATAGATTCATATTCATTAAGCATCAATTTGAATTCATTCTCCCCTGCTGCGTCCTGGAGATAAGGGTGAAAAAAATTGCAAGCAAGAATGTGGAATTGTTTAATATAAGAGACATTTGATAAAGATATTTTTAAATTAATTTGCTAAACTCTAAAATATTGGAATTACAATTCTTATTTTTGATCAATCCATGGCTATATTTACTTATAGATACGAAGAGAAACTTGGTTTCGATGAATCTA